CCTCTTCTTCATGTCTCTTCTACATCAACATGTGTCCCCTCTTCTTCATTCTTCTACATCAACATGTGTCCCCTCTTCTTCATGTCTCTTCTACTTCAACATGTGTCCCCTCTTCTTCATGTCTCTTCAACATGTGTCCCCTCTTCTTCATGTCTCTTCTACATCAACATGTGTCCCCTCTTCTTCATGTCTCTTCTACATCATGTGTCCCCTCTTCTTCATGTCTCTTCTACATCAACATTGTCCCCTCTTCTTCATGTCTCTTCTACAACATGTCCCCCTCTTCTTCTGTCTCTTCTACATCACATGTGTCCCCTCTTCTTCATGTCTCTTCTACATCAACATGTGTCCCCTCTTCATGTCTCTTCTATCAACATGTGTCCCCTCTTTCTTCATGTCTCTTCTACATCACATGTGTCCCCCTTCTTCATGTCTCTTCTACATCAACATTGTCCCCCTCTTCTCTCTCTCTTCATGTCTCTTCTACATCAACATGTGTCCCCTCTTCTTCATGTCTCTTCTACATCAACATTTCCCCTCTTCTCCATCACCATGTGTCCCCTCTTCTTCATGTCTCTTCTTCATCAACATGTGTCCCCTCTTCTTCATGTCTCTTCTACATCAACATGTGTCCCCTCTTCTTCATGTCTCTTCTACATCAACATGTGTCCCCTCTTCTTCATGTCTCTTCACATCATGTGTCCCCTCTTCTTCATGTCTCTTCAACATGTGTCCCCTCTTCTTCATGTCTCTTCTACATCAACATGTGTCCCCTCTTCTTCATGTCTCTTCTCTCTCTCATGTGTCCCCTCTTCTTCATGTCTCCTTCTACATCAACATGTGTCCCTCTTCTCATGTCTCTTCTACATCAACATGTGTCCCTCTTCTTCATGTCTCTTCTACATCAACATGTGTCCCCTCTTCTTCATGTCTCTTCTACATCAACATGTGTCCCCTCTTCTTCATGTCTCTTCTATCAACATGTGTCCCTTTCTTCATGTCTCTTCTACATCAACATGTGTCCCCTCTTCTTCATGTCTCTTCTACTTCAACATGTGTCCCCTCTTCTTCATGTCTCTTCTTCATCAACATGTGTCCCCCTCTTTCATGTCTCTTCTACTTCAACATGTGTCCCCTCTTCTCCATGTCTCTTCTACATCAACATGTGTCCCCTCTTCTTCATGTCTCTTCTACAACAACATGTGTCCCCTCTTCTTCATGTCTCTTCTACTTCAACATGTGTCCCCTTCCTTCATGTCTCTTCTTCATCAACATGTTTCCCCTCTTCTTCATGTCTCTTCTACTTCAACATGTGTCCCCTCTTCTCATGTCTCTTCTACATCAACATGTGTCCCCTCTTCTTCATGTCTCTTCTACATCACATGTGTCCCCTCTTTCATGTCTCTTCTACTTCAACATGTGTCCCCCTCTTCTCCATGTCTCTTCTACATTCAACATGTGTCCCCTCTTCTTCATGTCTCTTCTACATCAACATGTGTCCCCTTCTTCTTCATGTCTCTTTACATCAACATGTGTCCCCTCTTCTTCATGTCTCTCTACATCAACATGTGTCCCCTCCTTCTTCATGTCTCTTCTACATCAACATGTGTCCCCTCTTCTTCATGTCTCTTCTACATCAACATGTGTCCCCTCTTCTTCATGTCTCTTCTACATCAACATGTGTCCCCTCTTCTTCATGTCTCTTCTACATCAACATGTGTCCCCTCTTCTTCATGTCTCTTCTACATCAACATGTGTCCCCTCTTCTTCATGTCTCTTCTACTTCAACATGTGTCCCCTCTTCTTCATGTCTCTTCTACATCAACATGTGTCCCCTCTTCTTCATGTCTCTTCTACATCAACATGTGTCCCCCTCTTCTTCATGTCTCTTCTACTTCAACATGTGTCCCCTCTTCTTCATGTCTCTTCTACATCAACATGTGTCCCCTCTTCTTCATGTCTCTTCTACATCAACATGTGTCCCCTCTTCTTCATGTCTCTTCTACATCAACATCTGTTCCCTCTTCTTCATGTCTCTTCTTCATCAACATGTGTCCCCTCTTCTTCATGTCTCTTCTACATCAACATGTGTCCCCTCTTCTTCATCAACATGTGTCCCCTCTTCATGTCTTAATGTCATCTGCTCTTTTCATCAACATGTGTCCCCTCTTCTCCATGTCTCTTCGTCTACATCACATGTGTCCCCTCTTCTCCATGTCTCTTCTACATCAACATGTGTCCCCTCTTCTTCATGTCTCTTCTACATCAACATGTGTCCCCTCTTCTTCATGTCTCTTCTACATCAACATGTGTCCCCTCTTCTTCATGTCTCTTCTACATCAACATGTGTCCCCTCTTCTTCATGTCTCTTCTTACATCAACATGTGTCCCCTCTTCTTCATGTCTCTTCTACATCAACATGTGTCCCCTCTTCTTCATGTCTCTTCTACATCAACATGTGTCCCCTCTTCTTCATGTCTCTTCTACATCAACATGTGTCCCCCTCTTCTTCATGTCTCTTCTACATCAACATGTGTCCCCTCTTCTTCATGTCTCTTCTACATCAACATGTGTCCCCCTCTTCTTCATGTCTCTTCTACATCAACATGTGTCCCCTCTTCTTCATGTCTCTTCTACATCAACATGTGCCCCTCTTCTTCATGTCTCTTCTACATCAACATGTGTCCCCTCTTCTTCATGTCTCTTCTACATCAACATGTGTCCCCTCTTCTTCATGTCTCTTCTACAATCAACATGTGTCCCCGCTTCTTCATGTCTCTTCTACATCAACATGGTGTCCCCTCTTCTTCATGTCTCTTCTACATCAACTGTGTCCCCTTCTTTCTTCTCATGTCTCTTCTTACATCAACATGTGTCCCCTCTTCTCCAGTCTCTTCTACATCAACATGTGTCCCCTCTTCTTCATGTCTCTTTCTACATCAACATGTGTCCCCTCTTCTTCATGTCTCTTTCTACATCAACATGTGTCCCCTCTTCTTCATGTCTCTTCTACATCAACATGTGTCCCCTCTTCTTCATGTCTCTTTCTACATCAACATGTGTCCCTCTTCTTCATGTCTCTTCTACATCAACATGTGTCCCCCTTCTTCATGTCTCTTCTTCATCAACATGTGTCCCCTCTGTGGAAAGAGACTCTGAAAGTTTCAGGAACAAAGATTCTCTCTCTTTTTGATCCATTTCTATAAAAACCTGTCTGAAATGAGCTGATCAGATTTTGGCCACTTTGTGATGTCATAACGATGTTTTGTCTTGTGTAACCATTAGCCAATCAGCAACCAAGGTAACCCCCTCCCCCCCCCTTATCACCTGAATCTCCTCCTAGAGCACCATTGAGTTCTTTCTACCCAAATCTCTCTCAGAGGGGCGTGGGGAGGGGCTCCTTGCTTTCATCTAAAGTAACAGACAGAGAATCAGCACTTTGGAAACAGGGCTGAAACAGAGGGGATTATGGGTAATGCTGCAACGATCTGTTTGGTGTTTCAGCCAATCAGAGACAGGCTCTGTATATATCTGAGACCTGTACTATATTGATGAAAAACATTATAATAGGGGACCTTTAAAGTCCAGCGGGCCGTAGGTTGAGCATTGCAGTTTTGCCTCACTTTATGGGCCCCAGCTTCTTGTAGTCGTCCTCGATCATCGTCCTTGCCCTCGCCTCCGCCGCCGCTCGGTGGTCGGTCCTCGTGAAGCACAATCTGCAGAATAAACCCCCAAAACATTCATTTCATTTGTTTTGTACGCAAAAAACTTAAATTGTCAAAAGACGAAGCTATCAGAGTCCTGTAGTGAGGTAGTGAAAGTTTAATGTTCCCCTTTTCTTATTTGAATGTGCATGAAAATAAAGGACTCAAGTAAAGTACAAGTATACCTCAAATATGTTGAATACTTAAGTAGGCCTACATTTATTTAGGTCTACACTCCACCATAAGAAAATAAACAATATATTCTTTACTTTTTTAATGCTATTTTATTTCTATTTGAGATGTTTACATTTTGGATTGTTTATTTCAAATCTTTTAATTTCTCTATTGTACAATGTATTGTCTTTTTATGCTGCTGCAACGCAAACATTTCCCAAATTTGGATCAATAAAGTACTTCTTATCTTAACTTATTTGGCTTCTGTTGTGATGACTAGAAATGCTAAGAATAACACTACAATACTATTTTGACGGGAACGTTTTTTGAATCTGAAATAGGTAGGCGTCTTTATGTTACCGTGTGTTCAACCCCCCGTGGAGGAACGCGATCCAAAGCCATCCCACAACAGGAAGATCAGCATGAAGCGGGAAAGCAAACGCAAACCAGGAGCCGAAGTTTATCGCATCGCAGTCTGGGGAAGTAGCTGTGAAAAACAAAACACAACACAACTATAAGACGTGTTTTAAAGGTCACCTATCATACTATTTTTAGGCAATAGCATAGGTCTCAGATATAGAAAAATGAAACAGTATGGAGCTCAAACTCTTTTTCTCTCTCAGGTTTACCACAAGGTGAGTTCCTTTTATTGCGATAAAAATGCTTGCTAATGTAATCACAGACCATATTACTTCCAGAACACGTCTCGTTGTTTCTGACAGCAACGTTTCTGATTGGCCCGTGGGGTGTAAATAGAGGCTGAATTCACACAGTCCTGATGCTCTTCTAGGTAATCACACCGTCCTGCCATGTTCACAGCTACAGTTGGGATACCTTTGTTAGCATGCTACTCTCATGTTGGAAGAGGACATTCACTATTTTCATAACAACAATAAAAGCCTTGAATATTGTATCTTGAACCTTTAAATGTAATCACGTGAGAGTTACCTCTTCAGCTGTCCGATCAGGATGAGGTTTGGCGCCGTGCCGGTCAGCGTGGCGGTGCCTCCGATGCTCGCGGCATAAGGAATGCAGATCAGGAAACCTTTCCATACTTTCATTTGATACGCAGACTCCGTGCGGATTTCCTCCACCGAGCGCTGGTCGCTCTGCTCCTCAACATCCGGACTTTATAGGAGACAAAAACTTTGAATTAACCCCACCAAGGTTTAGCGAGAAATAAATGTGCTTTCCTGAAGAGAGTTAGATTAAAAGATTGGTACCACTGTTGCACTAGAATAGATATTCTGCAGCCTGTTAGCTTAGCACAAGACTGAAAGCAATGTAGCCTGTCTAAAGCTAACAAACTCCACCTACAAGCACCTGTTAGCTTAGCACAATACTGAAACAACAGCTAGCCTATCTAAAGCTAACAAACTCCACCTACAAGCACCTGTTAGCTTAGCTTAGCACAACACTGAAACAACAGCTAGCCTATCTAAAGCTAACAAACTTCACCTATAAGCACCTGCTAGCTTAGCTTAGCACAACACTGAAACAACAGCTTGCCTGTCTAAAGCTAACTAACTCCACCTATAAAGCACCTTTAAAATTCACATATTAACATGTTTTAACACAATCCAATACAAGTACCTAATGCTTCGAATTAAAAAATATTTAAAAAGAACAAAGTGAGCTTAGCACAAAACTGAAAACAACAGCTAGCCTGTGTAACAAACTCCACCTACAAGCACCTCTAAAGATCACATATTAACACGTTGTGTATAGAGTTGTAAGTTGTTTTTCAAATCTGTATAAAGACCAAAGTGGCTTAGTTTAGTCAAAAACACGAGGCAGAGGGAAATATCCAAAGTCAACAAACTCCACCAAAAGACAAGAACCTTTTTAAGGACCGGAAAACTCTCGCTATAGCTTGTTTTTTAAAAATCTTTATAAATGACAAAGTTAGTTTAGCACAAAAACTAAAAGGCAGAGGGAAAGAGCTAGCCTATCTAAAGCTAACACACACCAAATAGTTAGCAAGAAATTACAGGAAGAGGCTAATCCTCTGTAGCTGTGTGGTGTCTTTTAGCCCTGATCTTTGACTGTTTTTGCCATGAGGCTTATTTGAAAAGTAAGGATAGAATGTTTGCTCCAAATGTCTGCACATAACCTCCATTCAAAAACCAGGACGCTATTTGTTTGGTAGTGCAGTGAGGAGCTACATTTCACCCTTTAAGGGGCTTTTTTGAAACACACAGGTGTCATTTGCGAAGTGTTAAGCATTGCCATTGTAATGGGAGGTTATGTGCGAGACTATTCCTTTGATTTTCTTACATTCAGACACTTGCTTCCAGCTTTCGTGCTAAGCTAACGGCCTACTCTCATCTAACTCTTGTAGCATATTTCCTAAAATGGTTATCTTTTGAGTCAGATTTTGGAAGATGTTGTGATTCTTCTTACCCCTCTATGGACAGCATTTGTTTCTCCGTGTGTTCTGAGGGCAGTGAATGCAGCTTTACAGGAAGACGGACCTGGGAGATAATAACAAACATCAGGGGAGTAAAATCATGTAATACCTGACAGCATATAAATCATAAACTCTCTCAGGACACTGTGTTGGAAAAACCACACAAAGTTCACTTCCTAGATTACATATTAAAAACAATACAGACGCTTTCACTTCGTCTGCACATGTTCTTTCAAACGGTTTGCTTGGGCACATATTGAGCAGCTTTGCAGCAAACTATCTTTATTTAATCTAGATTAATAAAACAGGCAACATTTCACCTGCAAGCAGTGGCAGTTCTAGAGTCTGTGGGGGCCCTAGGTAAAAATTCACTGGGGGCCCCTCGAACCAGCTTTCATCACCATCAGTGGCGCCCCAACCACACCCCCCCCCCCCCCCCCCCAGCATTTGACAGCGCGCTATGCATGGCCTTGAGGGGGTTTCCCGACATGTCGTTGCAGTAAATGAAAGGGTGTTTCATGTTGTCGTTGCTGTGGACCTTCTTATATACCTCTTTGGGGGCCCCCTTCTGGTCCGGGGCCCCAAGCAGTTGCCTGTTCGCAAGCGGCGCCCGCAGGTCTGACAGACTTGTTGATCAAAACCAGCACTGTGAGACGTATTTTTATTTTTACATCTGTTTTTAAATAAAGTTAACCAAGATACAAAACGACATCATCTGCAAACTGCTGTGTTTTTTTTTTAATGGATTTAAAGTAAGTTAAGAAACAAATGCACGCTCCAGCCACATGGAGATCTTTACTGAAGGAAAGAAGGTTGTGGGTTAGAAAACCAAAAAGTGTGACCTGAAAGACGGTCAAATAAAAAAGGAAAATGGCTCAACATTAAAGCCATTGGTTTTAAAGCTCTGGGCCTTGTTTTATTTGTTATTCTTAACTTCAACTATTGCATTTTACATTCTTAACTAATATATTAAAAGCTATCAATATTTATTTTTTATTTCATGTTTTAATTGATCAATGTTTTCTTTATTCTTAACTTCAAACTATTGATTTTTTTACCATTTTAGTATTTTACTAAAGCAATAAAAGCCTTGATCATATCATTTTTTATCATTTTTACACATAATCATTGTTTCTTCTAAATCTCTTTATTTATTCTTGACTTGATCATTCTTTAAACTTTTTTATTTGCATTTAATTTTAATTGTACCTTTGATTTTTGACTTGGGTTGTATTTTATATGCACTTTACGTCAGTTAAATAAAATACGTCTCTGTGGGATCATCACTAGCGCTCATAAGAGGTGGGAAGTATTGGAGTACAACTACTTCGTTACTATACTTAAGTACATTTTCTGGTATCAGTACTTTACTCCACTACTTATTTTTCTGACAACTTTTTACTTTGACTTCTTACATGTTGAACACAAATACCTGTACTTTCTACTTCTTACATGTTGAACACAAATACCTGTACTTTCTACTTCTTACATGTTGAACACAAATACCTGTACTTTCTACTTCTTACATGTTGAACACAAATACCTGTACTTTCTACTTCTCACATGTTGAACACAAATACCTGTACTTTCTACTTCTTACATGTTGAACTCAAATACCTGTACTTTCTACTTCTTACATGTTGAACTCAAATACCTCTACTTTCTACTCTTACATGTTGAACACAAATACCTGTACTTTCTACTTCTTACATGTTGAACTCAAATACCTGTACTTTCTACTTCTTACATGTTGAACACAAATACCTGTACTTTCTACTTCTTACATGTTGAACACAAATACCTGTACTTTCTACTTCTTACATGTTGAACTACAAATACCTGTACTTTCTACTTCTTACATGTTGAACTCAAATACCTGTACTTTCTACTTCTTACATGTTGAACACAAATACCTGTACTTTCTACTTCTTACATGTTGAACACAAATACCTGTACTTTCTACTTCTTACATGTTGAACACAAATACCTGTACTTTCTACTTCTTACATGTTGAACTCAAATACCTGTACTTTCTACTTCTTACATGTTGAACTCAAATACCTCTACTTTCTACTTCTTACATGTTGAACACAAATACCTGTACTTTCTACTTCTTACATGTTGAACTCAAATACCTGTACTTTCTACTTCTTACATGTTGAACACAAATACCTGTACTTTCTACTTCTCTCTTTTCCAAACAGGTTGGTTCCTTTAGTTTGAATGTGTGTTTGGGGCGTGATCATTATTATTTAGACCAGGGGTGCCCAACCTTTTTTGAACCGAGAGCTATTTTTAAAGTTGCCAGTCTGCCGAGATCTACCAGTCCAAATAGAGAGGCGTAGCCATTACTGACAGCCTACTACCAGGTAAATACACGCTTCTACTTGTATAAAACTGACCTTTGTACGATTAATACTTCATAAAATACTGCAGATCCTTTATCTTACCTCTTTCTTATCTACACACATACAAGTATTTAACTGAAGTTACACAACAGTGTTGTTGATACGGAGTTGGAGTTTATTCACACGTCACTACAGTGGGTAATGTTTTCAAGAAACATTGAACAGTGCTGCCACATATGACACAGGGAAAAAAGAAAATACTCTGAACCCTTTCTTTGCCATTAAAGTTAGGCTTACTAATAAGACAACTCAGATCTGAAGCTACAGGAATCTGCTGCCAACGTGCAATAAAAAAGACAACATTAATAGAATCAAACCCTTTTTTTGTTGCATTTTAGTAGATTATAAAAATAAATGCCTTTAAAATAGGATGCAAGCAACACTAGTTTCTTAACCTGAATTGATAATAGACTATAATCAATTTAAGTTTGCATTCTTATACCATTTTGTACAATAATTATAATGAATAAGTTCAAACAAACTAAAACTTACAGCTGATTAATAACGGTATCTAACTTGAGTTTTTATCAAAAACCTGTTGAAATGCTTCTGTTATTTTTACTGTCCCCAAAAAGCGCGTCGCAGCCTCCAGGAATGCTTCTTTCACAACTTCGCCGTCTTTAAAAGACTTCATGTGTTTCTCAAGAACGTGACTGACACGATAAGATGCTCTGGTAGCAGCCTTGCTCTTGTTGTTGGGCCTGGTGGAAATGGACTGCTGTGCATTTAGCTGTCCTTTCAGGCCCCTCCCCTTTTGGTGCGTAGGGCAGAATTAGGAGGGAGTTCCGTCTCGTAGCGTTTGTGCACTGTTTTGAAATGCCGCTCCTAAATTACCCTTCGATAAAGCCACGCTCGCATTGCAGATGAGACAGATGGACTTTGAATTGGAATAGATACAAAAATAATCATCCTCCCACTCGGAGTGAACATTATATATTTTGGGCTTTTTTGCTTCTGCCATAATTGCGGTCTTGTGTGTGTGCGGACTGTCACTCCTGTTGACACGGACAACCTCAGCGAACTAGTGCCCACTGCCCACCAGCCACGCCCCGACACATGGGATCACGCCGGCCAATCACAAAGCTTTGATGCGTTCAAGTGCATTATTCTGGCACAGGAAGATTTTGTTATAGGACATTAACGATAAAACAGAATATTGTTGTTCTTTTTTTAGACATCTCGCGATCGACTGGGAATCTCCCCGCGATCGACCGGTTGATCCCGATCGACCGGTTGATCCCGATCGACTGGTTGGGCACCCCTGATTTAGAGTCATTGCGTGCCTATTCATTTGAACATGATCCGTGTATCCATCATTTCCTGGTCTTCTCTAAAGAAGAGGGACCAATGGAAACGTTGTCCTGTTGCCGTTGTTCAGCATGGAACATTCATTAGCTAACAATGACATTATTGTTCTATTAATATAAAGGGAGGTCAGGTACTCTTTAAAACAGCTGCTAGTTATGGGTACTTTTTACTGAAGTACATTTCAAAGCCTCTTTACTTTTACTTGAGTAAAGAAGTTTAGTCAGTACTTCTACTTTTACCGGAGTACTTTAAACACGAGTATCTGTACTTCTACTCGAGTAAAGGATGTGTGTACTCTTTCCCCCTCGTACCATTAAGGACCTCGTTGTCGGGCTCCTGGCGCTCCTTGCACTTCTCCTTGAGGGTCTCCAGGTCCCCAAACAGACTCTCCAGGATGGCGGTGGCGATGGGAAGCATCATGGCGGTGGTGGCCGTGTTGCTGAGCCACATGGAGAGGAAGGAGGAGGTCAGCATCATGCCCAGGATCAGCCTGCAGGCGGGAAATATCATTATTATTATATTATTATTATCAGCAACTTCCCATGAGTTACCATTAATAGGAAACTGAAGAGATACTGTAATGTAATATACTAATACAATTGAAAGGCGCCATGCTAATGTAATCTATTATTATTATTATCATTATCATTATTAATAATTATTTTCTGTTTCCCCTCACCAGGCGGGCTTCACCCCCACGATGGTGAGCACCTTCAGGGCGATGCGGCGGTGGAGCCCCCACTCTTCGATGGACGACGCCATCACCAGGCCGCTCAGGAACAGGAAGTTGGTTTCCAGGAAGTACTGAGGGCACACCTTTTTGGAGGGAAGGATTCCCAGCGTCGGGAAGAGGCAGACGGGAAGCATGGCGGTGACGGCCAGAGGGAGCGCCTCGGTGCACCAGTACACCGCCATCAGAATCACCACGTACAGACATCTACCCTCCTGGAGAGAGAAACAGCCCTTTACTCAAGCACAAGTACACATCCTTTACTCAAGTAGAAGTACACACCCTTTACTCAAGTAGAAGTACACACCCTTTACTCAAGTAGAAGTACACACCCTTTACTCAAGTAGAAGTACACATCCTTTACTCAAGTAGAAGTACAGATCCTTTACTCAAGTAGAAGTACACATCCTTTACTCAAGTAGAAGTACACATCCTTTACTCAAGTAGAAGAACAGATACTCTGGTAAAATTAGAAGTACTGACTAAACTTCTTTACTCAAGTAAAAGTACAGAGGCTTTGAAATGTACTTTAGTAAAAAGTACCCATAACTAGCAGCTGTTTTAAAGAGTACCTGACCTCCCTTTATATTAATAGAAGAATAATGTCATTGTTAGCTAATGAATGTTTCCATGCTGAACAACGGCAACATGACAACGTTTCCATTGGTCCCTCTTCTTTAGAGAAGACCAGGAAATGATGGATACACGGATCGTGTTCAAATCAATAGGCACGCAATGACTCTAAAGAATAATGATCACGCATCAAACACACATTCAGACTAAAGGAACCAGCTGTTTGGAAAATGAGAGAAGTAGAAAGTAAAGTATTTGAGTTCAACATGTAAGAAGTAGAAAGTACAGGTATTTGGGTTCAACATGTAAGAAGTAGAAAGTTCAGGTATTTGTGTTCAACATGTAAGAAGTAGAAAGTACAGGTATTTGTGTTCAACATGTAAGAAGTAGAAAGTACAGGTATTTGAGTTCAACATGTAAGAAGTAGAAAGTACAGGTATTTGTGTTCAACATGTAAGAAGTAGAAAGTACAGGTCTTTATGTTCAAAATGTGAGAAGTAGAAAGTACAGGTATTTGTGTTAAACATGTGAGAAGTAGAAAGTACAGGTATTTATGTTCAAAATGTGAGAAGTAGAAAGTACAGGTATTGGGTTCAACATGTAAGAAGTAGAAAGTACAGGTATTTGTGTTCAACATGTGAGAAGTAGAAAGTACAGGTATTTGGGTTCAACATGTAAGAAGTAGAAAGTACAGGTATTTGGGTTCAACATGTAAGAAGTAGAAAGTACAGGTATTTGTGTTCAACATGTGAGAAGTAGAAAGTACAGGTATTTGTGTTCAACATGTAAGAAGTAGAAAGTACAGGTATTTGGGTTCAACATGTAAGAAGTAGAAAGTACAGGTATTTGGGTTCAACATGTAAGAAGTAGAAAGTACAGGTATTTGTGTTCAACATGTGAGAAGTAGAAAGTACAGGTATTTGCGTTCAACATGTGAGAAGTAGAAAGTACAGGTATTTGCGTTCAACATGTGAGAAGTAGAAAGTACAGGTATTTGCGTTCAACATGTGAGAAGTAGAAAGTACAGGTATTTGTGTTCAACATGTAAGAAGTAGAAAGTACAGGTATTTGTGTTCAAAATGTAAGAAGTAGAAAGTACAGGTATTTGTGTTCAAAATGTAAGAAGTAGAAAGTACAGGTATTTGGGTTCAATGTGTGAGAAGTAGAAAGTACAGGTATTTGTTCAAAATGTGAGAAGTAGAAAGTACAGGTATTTGTGTTCAACATGTAAGAAGTAGAAAGTACAGGTATTTGTGTTCAACATGTAAGAAGTAGAAAGTACAGGTATTTGTGTTCAACATGTGAGAAGTAGAAAGTACAGGTATTTGAGTTCAACATGTAAGAAGTAGAAAGTACAGGTATTTGTGTTCAACATGTAAGAAGTAGAAAGTACAGGTATTTGTGTTCAACATGTGAGAAGTAGAAAGTACAGGTATTTGAGTTCAACATGTAAGAAGTAGAAAGTACAGGTATTTGTGTTCAACATGTAAGAAGTAGAAAGTACAGGTTATTTGAGTTCAACATGTAAGAAGTAGAAAGTACAGGTATTTGTTCAAAATGTGAGAAGTAAAGTAAAAAGTCGCCAGAAAAATAAGTAGTGGAGTAAAGTACTGATACCAGAAAAATGTACTTAAGTACAGCAACAAGTATTTGTACTCCACTACTTCCCACAATCTGCCCTCCTGCCACAGGGGAGGATTAACATCAAAATAATGTGTTTATAATCTGCTTTTAAAACCAAAGAACATATTCAGATGTGATTCCCACATAATCACCGTTTGGATTTGGATCAGAAACTGCAAAACAAAACTTTTCATTCCCTTTTTGTCATTTTTCTGGTTATACAAATACAACTGTGTGAAATTATATCACAAGAAAGCCCTTTCAGTTAAAGTCAATAATAACCCTTAAATGGGCATTAAATATTTAGGGAAATTAATTGGTTGCTATTTTCTATACCCCTATTATGAACTGATATTACACCATTATTACACCCATATTTTGCCTATATCATACCTTTATTACACTGTTATTTGACTCATATTACAACCTATCTTAGACCCATATTACACTGTTATTAGACCCATATTACACTGTTATTAGACCCATATTACACTGTAATTAGACCCATATTACACCGTTATTAGACCCATATTACACTGTAATTAGACCCCATATTACACTGTTATTAGACCCATATTACACCGTTATTAGACCCATATTACACTGTTATTAGACCCATATTACACTGTTATTAGACCCATATTACACTGTTATTAGACCCATATTACACTGTTATTAGACCCATATTACACCGTTATTAAACCCATATTACACCGTTATTAAACCCATATTACACCGTTATTAAACCCATATTACACTGTTATTAAACCCATATTACACCATTATTAAACCCATATTACACTGTTATTAAACCCATATTACACCGTTATTAAACCCATATTACACCGTTATTAAACCCATATTACACTGTTATTAAACCCATATTACACTGTTATTAGACCCATATTACACTGTTATTAGACCCATATTACACTGTTATTAGACCCATATTACACTGTTATTAAACCCATATTACACTGTTATTAAACCCATATTACACTGTTATTAGACCCATATTACACTGTTATTAGACCCATATTACACTGTTATTAGACCCATATTACACTGTTATTAGACCCATATTACAACAATATTACAAAGTTATTAGACCCATATTCCACCCACTTTGTTTGCACACTGACACAGCCTGTCAAATAAATGTCTCCCCCGGATCCAGAAACCATTAAAGATCAATATTCAGACGACAAGTAAAGAAACACAAAGTGAAATCTACCTTACAGAAATGCACTGAGGGAAACAGCCTAAAGTACATTGCACATGTCGCACGTTAAAGGTCCTGCGAGACTCGAACCAACTCCTGACAAACACACACTTTTATGAAGTTTTTTAAAGTCGACTTAAAGCTGCTCACCTTCTCGGGCAGAGTGAAGACGAGCGGGAGGAGGAGGAGCGGCGTGAGCAGCAGGATCAGAAGTTTGTGGACGCACCACAACTTCTTAGAAACCGCCGACAGATTCATCTCAGAGAGTCGGAGAGCAGCGTTCAGAGAGGAGCAGCACACTGAGTCAGGAAGGGATTAACCTCACACACACTCACACACTCTGCACACACACACACACAGACACACTCTGCACACACACACACTCTTTACACGCACACACACACTGCACACACACACTCTGCACACACACACCACACTCTGCACACACACGCACACACACACACACTCTGCACACACACACGCACACAGACACACACACACACTCTGCACACACACACATACACACTCGCTGCACACGCACACACACTTTAACCCCTGCAGCACTCTGAAGACTTTATACAAGAGGAGGAGGCAACGTTGCTCCAGTACTGCCCTCCTTGTGCAACACACACCGCTCACCTTATAAATATATAGAAGACATTTTTAACAAGCCTCTGTGTTTCATGTTTATTATTATAATTGTTCCTATTTTTACTTTATTGTTATTATATTATTTATTGAAATGTAAATTGTTTTTAGGGAGATGAAAAAATATCCTCTTGACTAACTCTTTAAAAGAAACGTCTACGAATGCACACCGTCCCCGTCACACACAAATAAAACAAGATCAAATAAACTTCAAACGTAGCTTTGCAGAATTCATATCACCGTTAATTCTCTCTTTATTTTTATTTGTGGAAATATTTATTATTTATTTATCTTCATTTAACAAATTATTATACATATTTTATTTTAGTTTTGTATCAGCATAGTCCTTTTTTTGTAACAATGTATACAAATATACACAAGAGAGAACATTTATACAATTATTTAAATCATTTCTAAATTACCTTTGACAAGAAGACTTTTCTTCATTGGTTCATTTGACATTATTACGTCAGTGTGGTGGCACGTGCACACATAGACCTCAAAGTGGGCTTGAGCCCCTGCCCTTTTTCTTCCTCCAGAGAAAGTGCCCTTTTTATGGGGTGCTTTTTAAATAAATGAAGATGTATCTACTGCTGTTTGCGCACACTTTCCAAAAAGATATTGATTGAATACAAAATTTAAATATGAGGTCGGGAGATTAGACTGTGAAGTTCCGCCGCTGCCCCCCCCCCCCCCCCCCCCCTCCACGTCTCGCGCACAGCGGTGCGGACATCGGCAGTCCCTTCAGACAGACAGACAGCAGCACCTCCCACTTTACTGTCCCACATTATGCCGGCTTTTCTTGGCTTATTTTGAAGGTGAGTGATGAACAAATGACTAAGCTGCGAGTGTGTGAAAGACACACTCAGAAGCCAAAGTACAGAAGAGAGGCTTTCTGATCTCCTCCTCGCTATTGAGAACATTCCTGTTATCCACAGTGAAGTAATAACCATCTACAGGGACATGGCCCCCAGACGGTGGGAGGAAGGAGAGGGAGGAAGGAGAGGGAGGAAGTGAAGACACGAACACATATTTAACAACTTCCAAGTGCAAAGAAAGATACAAGATACAAGAAAGTTAGTAACAAAATAAGTTATTAACAAAATATTTGATTTCAGATTTCAAGACGAGGAGGACAGGATCTGGCCCAGCAGGAACGGCACCATGAACAGAACCTGGCCCAGCAGGAACGGCACCATGAACAGAACCTGGCCCAGATGGAACGGCATCTGGCCCAGCAGGAACGGCAGTATGAACAGAACCTGGCCTAGCAGGAGCAGAACCTGGCCCAGCAGGAACGGCACCATGAACAGAACCTGGCCCAGCAGGAACGGCACCTGGCCCAGCAGGAACGGCACCTGGCCCAGCAGGAATGGCACCTGGCCCAGCAGAAAACGGCATCTGGCCCAGCAGGAACGGCACCTGGCCCAGCAGAAACGGCACCTGGCCCAGCAGGATCGGCACCTGGCCCAGCAGGAACGGCACCTGGCCCAGCAGGAACGGCACCTGGCCCAGCAGGAACGGCACCTGGCCCAGCAGGATCGGCACCTGGCCCAACAGGATCGGCACCTGGCCCAGCAGGAACGGCACCTGGCCCAGATGGATCGGCACTTTGACCTGAGCTTAGCGGCTGCTGCCCGGACGAGGGAGATGGATGCGACCTTGAGAAGGGAGGAGGCCGCTCAAGCACAGACATTTCATTTAGCCTTCCTGCAGTCTTGACCAGGTGCTAGGGGGAATGGGCAGCCGGCGTGGCCCGTCTCCTCAGGAAGACGAGCCTCTGTGATAACACAAACAAATAACCTCTGGCTGAGAATATATTGTTATTATATTGTTTATATATTATTTGTAAATGCAACATTTTTACTTTCTTGTTTATTTCTTATCTTTAAAATGTTTATTTTTACAATGCCATGACTTTTTATGCTGCTGCAACAAAACACTTCCCACATTGGGATCAATAAAGTACTTCTTTGACTTATCTTATCTCTTGTTGATCACACAGAAAGATGGCATCATCTAGGCGTCCCTCTGCAGTGAGACAGATAATAATCAAATTCAGATTCACATAGTCTTGATTTTGAGAAGATATAAACATGAATTTATAAAGCAGTAACAAACACCAGCAGTTAGGAAAAAGCCCATAAGATAAAAGTTCATATCAAGAGATTTAAAGCAAGACATTGAGTTTGCTAGCTTGAGGTCCTCCTCTAAAACATTATTAGTGCGAATGCTGTTTACAGCATTCCCACTATAGTACTTCAAATCTTTATTCTTCCCCTTATTATTATTATTATTTCAGCCAATACTTTGGCTTTCCATAACTTCAGCTTATTTTCAGCTACAGAAACCATTCAAATATTAAACTATTCAGCCTGTTCAGGAATCGATGGGAAACCTTCAACTTTTTCAAAATATGTTATACTTTTTGAAATATTCAGCTTTTTAAGCTCTTTTTTTAACATTGAAGTCAATGGGAAGAGCCTTCAAATCAGCCAATACTTTAGCTCTCCATAACTTCAGCTTACTTTCGGCTACAGAAACCATTCAAATATTAAACTATTCAGCCTGTTCAGGAATCGATGGGAAACCTTCAACTTTTTCAAAATATTTCATACTTTTTGAAATATTCAGCTTTTTAAACTCTTTTTTAACATTGAAGTCAATGGGAAGAGCCTTCAAATCAGCCAATACTTAGCTCTCTATAACTTCAGCTTACTTTCGGCTACAGAAACCATTCAAATATTAAACTATTCAGCCTGTTCAGGAATCGATGGGAAACCTTCAACTTTTTCAAAATATTCATACTTTTTGAAATATTCAGCTTTTTAAACTCTTTTTTTAACATTGAAGTCAATGGGAGATGCCTTCAAATCCTGTTTTCCTACACTTTGCGCCAAATGCATCTCCTTCCACATAATTTCAGCCAGACACTTCATTCCAACTTTCAAATGATCACAATACCTTCAGCTATAGAACTTGTATAAAATAATTTTGATATCTTTTCAACTTTTTGAGATATTGAATTTAGTTTGGAGCTTGGTAGAGAGGCATTTTTAAGATGTTTACATTAGAGTGGATGGAGCAGCTCATTAACTCTAGAGTGCTTTGATCTCAAAACAGAGTGCAGGACAGCTCAAAATTCTCCCCCAAAAATGTTTTAAACTTGCCATACTTCCCAAACCCTACACTCCTCAGACATATGTTTTCATGGAAAACTTAGGAAAACCTCTTCTAGCTTGTAAAATAAAGAAAAAATAAGAAAAAATATTAAAGAAAATGCCTCTTGAGGGCATTAAGTGACAAAAACGTTCAACATTCCTCCATTGAAGCCCATTGTAATTTCAGGCAGATATTTCCTCACGGTAGCAGCCGCACACCTTTAGTTAAACTGCCAAAAAGGCCACATTATTAAACCAAAACTACACAACAATTACACTTGAGATACTCAACTTCCTTGACATGCTTCACGTTTTGAAATTTCACAGATATCTGTTACAGTTCTTCCACAAAACGTTCACATGTAAGAGGTTCATCTCTCATTCAGAACAATGGAAACCTGTGATCTCTACAGAGCTCGTTAGTTCAAATATAAACACCTGTGTAATGGAACACGATGATGTCATCACTCCAACTGACATGCAGCAGACTTCAACAGTCCAGCTGTGAAGACGATTCGGGACAGTCTTGAGATTTCTCCAAATGCAGTTGCCATGGCAACACAATGCTCGCCTTGAAACACGGTTTTCTCATAGCTTCAGTGAAAATACTCCAAACAGCCCAGAACTTCACAGGTTTGATAACGATGCAGCCATCAATGCATCTAAGCGTAGTATGGGGTGTCATCAAATGTCATCGCCATGGCGACAGACCACTCGCCATGAAACACGATGAGGCTGTAAGTCAAATCGACACTGTCCAATCGTCCCCCAATCTTCACTTGTATATCACCGGTCCATGCCTCAAGAGCTCTACGCCAAATCTGAGATCTCACCATATGCCGTTTCCATGGAAACGCATCCCTCGCCATACAACTTGATGTCGCTATAAGTCCAATGGACACGGTCCAATCGTCCCCCAATCTTCACTTGTATATCACCGGTCCATGCCTCCACAGCTCTACGCCAAATCTGAGATCTCACCATATGCCGTTTCCATGGAAACGCATCCCTCGCAATAAAATATGATGTCACTATAACTCCTATGCAAATGTTCAAAGAGTGCGCAAACTTCACATGTGTGCTAACGGCCCGTCCACACAACAGCTTTGAACAAATCTTGAAAATCTAGGAGCTGGGCGTGTCTGACAGCTTGGGGATTTTTTGCGAGCAACACGACCAACAACCAATCACATGAATCTCCCGCCCCCGACATACAAAGCAAAAAAAAACGGGGATTTTATGCGAGCAATATATATATATATAAACTCCCCAAACAGGCGAAAACCTACCAGTTTCACCCACTGTCTCTGCCACCTCCCTCCATGCCTGGTTCCTCCGGTTTGTATCCCGGTAAATAGTCTGGTCGTAAAGAACCGGGTGATTTGCTACCGTAATTTCTCGTTTGGAATATGAGGAAATGAACTGCGGGTCTGGTTCTCCCAGCTTGCACGCGGTTTGATTGGCTAGCGCTTGAAATGTCAGATTTGCATAAACGGATCTGATTGGCTGTCGCT